CTGCATTCGTGCATGAGACGCCGCCAGCCCCGTTCCAACCGGTTTGCATGCGTACTAGCGTCTGTGCGATGCTCCAGCTGCTCCTGGAGGATCGTGCAGGCGCTGTATGCATCCTGCGCATGCATGGAAGTGCAGAACTCGTCAAAACCGGGTAAGAAACACGGGCGGGGTAGGTGGACCCTTCGGCGTTCCCGGAAGTTACTTACTTCCGGGTTCGCCGACCAACCGGTTCGCGGGGACCGCCGCGAACCGCCTGAAACCCACCCCTGGTATGTATGTGCAAACCTATATAACACTTGTAACCTACCTGAATAGTGTGAGAATCACTAGCCTGTCCAAGAATTTCCAAAAGGGCAGGATCAGAAATAAAAAAGAATCTAGGAAACAGCAATCTTTTTTTTTCCAAATACCTTTAGTAAGAAAAGAAGAATATTTCAGAAAAACAATCATTCTCCTGTTTTATGAATGTGCTTTATCAGTCAATACTGATAATTACATAGAAATATTTTGAGCTTTCAGATGATTTTTTTCAACTGTGTGACGCTGCCACTAAACTCCAAGAGCCAATGTCCTTCTTGTTGTCCCTATTCAAATTTCTTTATTGCTTTTTTTCCTGCAATCCTCATATCACTTTCTTTTATCAATTGCATGTGATACAATTGGACCTCTGCTTCATTTTGCTTCAGCATCTTCAAACACAATTTGCAGCCGAAAATCAAACACAACTTAAAAATGAAGTACAAATGAGGAGAACCCCGAATTCTGGTGCTCTAAATGTAGTGCTATTTTATTCTTTTTGCCCCCTTTAAATATTACCAGTGAATTAAAGATGCAAAACTTTTATTTCCAAATGATAAATATAACAATATTATTTTATTCTTCAACTACTTTTAATTACTTTCTGAACATTTTAAAAAATGAAAATAAATATCCAAGATTAGAGAATATAACCAAAATTACATGCACAAGTCTAAATTAATAAATTTACAATTAACTATGCATGCCTCATATTAATTTAAAATGTTAATATTAGTAATTTTTTTTACCCTGTAAGTGATTTCTGGCATACTTCCAATTGTTCATGTAAATGTGGTAAAAGTTGTCCCATAGTTTCATCTCCAACACAACAGCTAACTACATTGGGATTTTCATGTGCTCGCTGCATTATTTTTATCCATGATTTATCAATGTTTTGAAAACGTTTTGCTTCCTAAATAGAATAAATCCATATACACTTAAATGAGTCTCAGATGTCATTCTTAAGTCCAGGCTAAATACGTTTAATCTTAAATATTTGCACAGTTCAGCAATAGCTGATTTACCTACTGATTTACCTGGGGCAGCTGCTTGGCGATATCCCCACCTACAAAAACAGCTTCAAGGTAAACCCAGAGGTTTTGTACAATCAACCATTCTTCAATTATATCACTGGAGGTGCTGAGTTTAAACACCCAGTTTTGAATATCTTTTTTAAATGGTGCATTGTATCTAAAAAGCGGAGGCAAAGAATAATTTCAGGGTTAATGTTTCTCAATTAATAATTGTTTTAGTCTCTGACAGTAAGGGAGAAATATGAACATATGTGCAAAAGAGAACAAGAGAGAAGGGAAGTGCATTCTTAATAATAATTCAAACATAAACAATTAATTATTAATTGGCTCTAAAAGCTAGCAGTGTTAATGATGAAATCCCATCTATGGACATTCTCAGTCATCCAAGTCATGATTGTTCCAAAGAAACATCTTCAAGGAAAAACAAAGTCCAGTTGCCTTTTGAAAAAGCACCTTTCGGGTAAAGAAATCCCATGATATGCAATCTATCCATTGCTTATAATACAGAATGGGAAGGAGAATGCTCCAGAAAGCCCAGCTTCATTCATTTGGTTGAAAATGCCTAGCTGACGTTAACTTCTTCTGTCTTCACATATGTAGCGCTGTTGCCAAAATGAAAGGGAGAACATGGCATTGGAAGCAGTCTAAGTCTATTGTATAACAGAGGGAGCAGTGTGTTTCCTCAGACAGCTTATGCAGCAGTAGGCAATTCTGAAGTCCAAAGACATTATCACCCTGGCAAATGAAGGGCAAGCTTTTTTTACAGTTACTTTGTAGCTTTTATGTGTGTTCTGACCTAGGCTTCCTTAAAAAGCATGAAGCAGAGTCTTGGTCCCAGCAAAACATCTTTTATTTACACGACTGTGAATTCCTTTCATGCACAATCAGCCAGGCATGGCAAACAGTCTTTCAGAGGAATATTTATCAACATGAATCTTATCTTGTTTGGTGAGCTGCCAGATAACTAGTTTCCAAACACAGAGCAAGGCAACACTTGGCACAGTCTCTTATAGTCACAAACAGAACTTTCCACTCTTGAAACGACTGAAGGAACAAATTGTTTCCTGAAAAAGCCCAGTCCACATTCACTCTTCTTTTGTTTCCTATGGGAGGGACCAATCACCTCCAAGGTGTGACTTTACTCCCAAGTCGACCTGCTTTCTTAATTGTTCTTGTTTTCTGACAGCTCTGCACATGCGCACACTGAGAACAGGCTCCAGCTGTTCCTCTGCCTCACTGCTGTCTAGCTCCCTCTCTGTCTCCCCCGCAGAGCCCTGGTCTGAGCTTTCCTCAGGCCTCAGCACTGGCCCATGTTCCTCCACAACCTCCTCACTCTCCAACTCTGCTGCCAGCTCCACTGACCGCAAGTGGGCTGCAACAATGTGTTACAAAGTTGTTCATTTCCCACAGGCTAAATGGGCTCAATGCTATGAGCCTTTTTTTCAGCACTGTAAAATAATGTGAATAAAAGCTATGGCAATCTTTCCTTTTTATGTTAGGCACACATTTGAGAGTTCCTATGTAGACTGTGAATTTCATCTCTGCTGTAAGGAGCAATCAGAAGATGATTAAAATTTAATAGGAACAGAAGGAGAGCTGATATCACGACGTCACGACATGCGATCTTGGTGCTCCGAGATCACAGTCGGATTTCTGCCACTGGATGGTCCATTTGGACCTAAACCGTCCCGCAGAGATGGTGATTGAGAAGGGTACCTCCTGCTGATCTCAGGGACACTGCAAAGTCTCTGAAAGATCCAGGAATAGCCCTTCTTTTCTGGTGACAGAAATGCAGCTAATGAAGCTGCTGAAGTTGGGACAGCTCTAGAATGGGAAGAAAGTGGAAAGAGAAAGTGTGTCGAATTGGTGAGGAAATTTTATTATTAGAGGAAGAGACTACCCAAGAAAATAATTTAAGTTAAGATTAAAGACAAAAGACTATAGGCAGTGAGATTGATTTCCACTGAACTTAGTGTGTTATCCAGTTTCTAATTTCTTTTTTTTCCATGGATGGAACTTTTGCAGGGGCTCCCTATT